CATTTGAAGAAATCCAACAAATGTCTATTTATAAAAAGCACAATTAATATTAATGTCAACATGTTTTCAGCCATTTCAAATGCATATTAAATCACTTACAATATATATATTTTTTTTAGGTTTTAGTTTCCTGCAGAATCATCTGGTTCCGAGCACTGGTCCTGATATCAGGTTTTAAGGTGGTTCCATATGCGTGCTCAGAGGGTGTGCCTGGGCACATCCTAATCACCCCAACGCAACATAGGGTTTTGAGTCCTGTATGTGCTGTGTCCAGGTTTCAGGCCAGCTGAAACCAGGAAACCAGATGTCAGGCGGACAGGGGCAGCCACTGGGTCTTGGTGTTCCAACTTGAGTGCATGGAAGAGGCATGGGACACGGAGGGATGCTGGAACTCGGGGAACAAGCAGTTGTCTTAAACACAGGGTGCAGATAAGTATTGAAGGGCACCCTCTCCTGGCCGTCTCTCCTCGCTTTCTGTCCTGGTTGTCACTCCTCACTCTCTTTTTTGGCTCTCTCCCCTCGCTCTCTCCCCTGGCTGTCTCTCCTCACTCTCTGCCCTGGATGTCCCTCCCAGCTTCCCATCCAATCAGGAAGCCGGGTGGGTGGTCACATGACCACCTGCCAGGCTCCCTGCTTCAATACTGCACCCCTGCTGGACGAAGTAAGGGACAGTTGAACAGATGGGAATCTGGGATGCCCCAGGTCTGTATATGTAAGTAAGAGATTATATATTGTATACACTCACTGGCCACTTTATTAGGTACACCATGCTAGTACTGTGTTGGGCCCCTTTTGTCTTCAGAGCTGTTTTCATTCTTTGTGGCATGGATTCAACAAGGTGATGGAAACATTCCTTAGAGAGTTTGGTGCATATTGACATGATAGCAGCTGGCCATACACCTTACAATTTATCTGCAGATTTTCTGTGGTCAGATGGAAAAGGTGCAACAGATTCCTCCATCTACGCTAAACTGTGTGGATGGAGTAATCTCCACCTGGGCCAATCTGTTGCACTTTTTCCATCTGACCACAGAAAATCTGCAGATAATTGTAAGGTGTATGGGCACCTTCACACAGATGCAGCAGATTTTTCAGCTGCACATCTATGATGCGAAACTCTACCAGCCTGAACCGTTGATACAAGGCAGGATGGATCCATGTTTTCATGTTGTTTACATCAAATTCTGACCCGACCATCCGAATGTTGCAACAGAAATTGACACTCATCAGACCAGGCAACGTTTTTCCAATCTTCTATTTTACAATTTCGATGAGCTCTTGCTAATTGTAGCCTCTGTTTCCTGTTTTTAGCTGACAGAAGTGGCACCTGCTGTCTTCTGTGGCCGTAGCCCGTCTGCTTTATGGTTCAATGTGTTGCGTGTTCAGAGATGCTCTTCTGCATACCTCGGATGTAACAAGTGGTTATTTGAGTTAGGCTGGGTTCACACCTAGATGTATCGAATATGCGCATTTGTTGCGCGTTTCGTGCCGCGCATTTTTACCGCGTTTCGCTGTTAAAAAAACATGCAACAAACACGTGTTTCCGAGGGCTACCTGACTGTATCGCAATGGATACGCGCGGCAAATACGCCCCAAAAGGAGCTCCTGTACTTCTTTGGGCGTAGGGCGTTTTGCAGCACGTTCCTACGCGCTGTAAAATGCCCAGGTGGGAACCATGCCCATAGGCAATCATTGGTTTTCACATGTTGAGCGTTTTACAGAGCGTAGGAACTCGCTGTAAAACGCCCAGGTGTGAACCAGGCCTTACTGTTGCCTTTCTATCAGCTTGAACCAGTCTGGACAATCTCCTCTGACCTTTGACATCAACAAAGTATTCTTGCCCAGAGATCTGCCGCTCACTGGATATGGTCTCTTTTTCAAGGTCAGATGGAAAAGGTGCAACAGATTCCTCCATCTACGCTAAACTGTGTGGATGGAGTAATCTCCACCTGGGCCAATCTGTTGCACTTTTTCCATCTGACCACAGAAAATCTGCAGATAATTGTAAGGTGTATGGGCACCTTCACACAGATGCAGCAGATTTTTCAGCTGCACATCTATGATGCGAAACTCTACCAGCCTGAACCGTTGATACAAGGCAGGATGGATCCATGTTTTCATGTTGTTTACATCAAATTCTGACCCGACCATCCGAATGTTGCAACAGAAATTGACACTCATCAGACCAGGCAACGTTTTTCCAATCTTCTATTTTACAATTTCGATGAGCTCTTGCTAATTGTAGCCTCTGTTTCCTGTTTTTAGCTGACAGAAGTGGCACCTGCTGTCTTCTGTGGCCGTAGCCCGTCTGCTTTATGGTTCAATGTGTTGCGTGTTCAGAGATGCTCTTCTGCATACCTCGGATGTAACAAGTGGTTATTTGAGTTAGGCTGGGTTCACACCTAGATGTATCGAATATGCGCATTTGTTGCGCGTTTCGTGCCGCGCATTTTTACCGCGTTTCGCTGTTAAAAAAACATGCAACAAACACGTGTTTCCGAGGGCTACCTGACTGTATCGCAATGGATACGCGCGGCAAATACGCCCCAAAAGGAGCTCCTGTACTTCTTTGGGCGTAGGGCGTTTTGCAGCACGTTCCTACGCGCTGTAAAATGCCCAGGTGGGAACCATGCCCATAGGCAATCATTGGTTTTCACATGTTGAGCGTTTTACAGAGCGTAGGAACTCGCTGTAAAACGCCCAGGTGTGAACCAGGCCTTACTGTTGCCTTTCTATCAGCTTGAACCAGTCTGGACAATCTCCTCTGACCTTTGACATCAACAAAGTATTCTTGCCCAGAGATCTGCCGCTCACTGGATATGGTCTCTTTTTCAGACCATTCTCTATAAACCCGAGAGATGTTTGTGTATGAAAATCCCAGTAGATCAGCAGTTGCTGAAATACTCAAACCACCCTGTCTAGCACCAACAAACATGCCATGTTCAAAGTCACTTAAATCCCCCTTCTTCCCCAGTCTTATGTTCCATTTGAATTTCAGCAGATCTTGATCATGTCTCCATGCCTTAAGTTATGTATTAATACATAAATGTATTAAGTTACTGCCATGTGATTGGCTGATTAGATATTGTGTTAACGAGCAGTTGAAGGGGTGTACCTAATAAAGCGGCCAGTGAGTGTATATATACACATGTGTGCATGTACTTGTGTGTGCACATCCTATGCAATAGGCTGCACACGTCTATGGGTGGCTCCTTTCCCCTGCAGGGTCCTATGGTGCCATTCTAGTGTTTGCTAGTAAGCTGTCTACACAACCACAAGAGCACAGCAGGGAAAGTGACTTCCATTTCCAAGTTAGTAGTTGGACAGCTTCTGGAGACTGTACTCTCTCTTGTGACCTCCTCCTGGACAGGAAGTTCAGAGAAGCAGAGCTGAGAGAATTGGAGTCCGCTGTTTGCAAATATGACTGCTTGAGGAAACATTTAAAGAAAAAAGGTCCAGAAGTTAAAGTTAACTCTTGCAGTGGGGCCACCCCCACACTGCCCAGGTTAAGTCCTTGTTTTGGTCTAGGGCAGGGGTAGGCAACCTTGGCTCTCCAGCTGTTCTGAAACTACAAATCCCATCATGCTTCTGCCTCTGGGAGTCATGCTTGTGGCTTGCAATGCCTTATGGGATTTGTAGTTTTAGCACAGCTGGATATTTGTTTTTCCTGGACTCATTATTGAAAAAAAGTCTGAGAGTTGAATACTACTTTAAGAAACATAAATGCAAAATGTCTATTGAATTAGAACAAGCAGAGGTTTGCTTTGCTAGTATAGCATGTAGTAGGCAGACATCGACAGATTAGTAGCGGAGGTCCTACGAGTAAATGTACGATTAGTAACTGGGAAAGAGTCCAGTTGTTTTTGACCAGATTCAAAAACTGTATACTGAAGACCAGCACATCAGATATACACCCGACCGCAATCTCTCCAGTCGCAGTACATGTTAATCATGGAGTATTTGCAGACGTGTTTTGATGGGCAAGGAATATTACAGGACCCCATGTATGAACTTGATTGCCCCTGATGCCCGTGAACAGGGAGAGCGGAACATTTCACAACATTCAGGGCAAAAACCAAAATGTGCTCAGTAACCGAACGGCATGCATCACATTAAAATTCATCTGACAGTCATCACTGAGCCTGTTGATGGTAATTATATTTCACCGAAAATACTGTAGCAGCGGAAGAGTTCATTAGTGTTCACCTGCTGCCCTATTGTACTGCAGGCAGTAAAAGACCATGAATCCCAGATATTGTCAGCGTGTTGATAAACTGAACGACATGTCCCAGACATAAAGAAAAAACAACACATCACTGAATGTTGATCCTTGCTGAAGCAACTTCCACAATACTGGTACATATCTCACCCCAGATGACCAAACCTATGCACATAGTGCTATCCACACAAAACCAAAATCCTAAAATTCTACAACCGAGAGACATGCTGCAAAAACAGGAAGACGTGAGTCTACGTTTGTCATAAAATAGGAAAAGTTACAGGCAAAGACATGCCCTCTGGCATTCAAGGGGTTTACCCGTGACATATAGCATTGAGATTTCCACGCACACCTACATTATTAAAATTACTAGCAGAATTAAAAGCGGACTTTGAAATCGATTTCATTTGTATACCAACACGCACAAAATAGCAAAATCGGGGATAGAAAGGTTCAAATAAAAATGGCATTAAAAAAAAAAAAGTGTCACGACAATCTGCAAAATAAATAAACTTGACTTTACCTGATTGATGCGGCGTAGGGTGACAACTTGGTAAAAGTCAAAACACACAATAAATCAAATAATGTCATACGTGAACCGTTCAATTCATACAATGCAGGATATCATTTTAGTTTGTAAAATAAATATGGACGGTTCTAAACAAGCTGTCTTCTATAAATAGAAACAAGCAAGTATATGGAAAGAAACCAATGTTAACTGTCTGACAGAAGACTGCAGGCCTTTCAGCTCACCTAACACACATTGAAATAAACAGCGCACCATTGAAATCACAACAGGAATGATTATTGTCTCCCTCTTGACAAGGACTTCGGTTCAGCCTTCCCTACCTTTCAGCGATGATGATGATGATGCTGCTGCTGCTGGGTTACACGATCTACCGCCTTTTATTTATTTTTTTGGTTCACTCCAGAGCGCAAAATAGGAAGCAGTGACGGTGGGATGAATAGACGTTTAAGGGCGAAGCGCAGCTGAACAGAAGCGTAAAAGCTCCTTTTTGCAATCGCTCAGCAGGAAAAGAGATGGAAAAAAAAAAGAACAGGAGAGGGGAAAAAAAAGGGAGGGGATGGGAGGGGTGAGAGACAGCGACTCATTTAGACAGCCGGTCTAGCAGGCCTTCATAATACACAGGCACAAAACACAGCTGTGGCTTAAGGCAGAAATGCTTTATCCTTCTCTCATAGCTTTACCTCTGGCCATGAGATCTGCTCTTTCCTATCGGTGACACCATTACCCTTGCACTGCTACCTCAATGACAGATTGACGGGGCGTGTTTACAGTAAAGGCTGCACCAGCTAAAAAAGCTTCTGGTGCTGAAAGGGTCAATAAAAAGAGGATGTTGGTGTTACAGATCGGTGACCCTTGGCACGGCTGCTTTTATGGACCTGATATACTGTAAGTTGCTTGGAGCTTTATAGACGCCAGTGAATAAATAAAGACTGCAAGGGCAATTTATCAAAACTGGAGCAGAGAGAAGCTGGAGCCGTTGCCCATAGTAACCAATCAGCTTCTAGCTGTCATTTTCAAAGCCTCATTCACACATAGCGTGTAAAAAAACGTGCTGAATGAAAGCGCGCAAACGTTGACATACGTGCACCTTTGCGGCTATTACTATAGCCAGAACGTGCGGAATCCGCCCATTAAATGGTGCTTGGACTATTTTGCAAGCCGCCGCAATAGTCTGAACAATGCACATTGCAATGCATTGGTTTTTATGTTTAGCGCGGAAAACCGCTCATGTGTGAATGGAGCCTAACAGCACAGACTAAAGAGAGAAGCTGATTGGTTGCCATGGACAACTGCTCCAAATTCTGTTTTAATAAAACCACACCCCCAATGTTTTCAATTTCAAATGCTGAGGGAAGCTGTTATGTTATATTCCCTGCAGGTCTTCTCTGAATAGAAATGACGGAAGGAAGTCATGTTCCCAATGGGTCAGGTCTCTCCAGATCAAAGTGGCGTAACGCAGCGACATGTCTTCTTATGATCAAAGTGGGCCGACACATTGACTAAATCTGGCCATTCACTATTTGTTTATTCCCGTTCAGCAAACACCTGATTCCCCCATCCACACTACGGGTCCATTCACACTGGTGTGATGTGTTAATCGAATGGTAGCGCAACGCACCTCCTGGACTGTTAACACACGGTAGGTGCCTTGTGAACCTACCATGCGTTAACAGTCCAGGAGGTGTGTTGCATTATCATTCATTTGAATGGTACCCCGGATGCATCTCCTGCCCACCGTGTGATTGATCTCGCCGTGACGTGCAGTACCGCAATACTGTGTGCTTTGGTGTGATTAAAAAAAGTAGAGCATGCACATTGTGGGGCGATTAGAGAACGTAATGCATGCACATTGTGGGGCGATTAGAGAACGTAATGCATGCACATTGTGGGGCGATTAGAGAAAGTAATGCATGCACATTGTGGTGCATTTGGAAAAAGTAGAGCATGCACATTGTGGTGCGATTAGAAAAAGTAGCGCATGCACATTGTGGTGCGATTAGACAAAGTAGTGCATGCACATTGTGGTGCAATTTTAAGAAGTAGTGCATGCACATTGTGGTGTCATTAGAAAAAGTAGTGCATGCACATTGTGGTGCTATTTTGAAAAGTAATGCATGCACATTGTGGTGTCATTAGAAAAAGTAGTGCATGCAAATTGTGGTGCAATTAGAAAAAGTGATTAGCGCATGTACATTGTGGTGCGATCGCCCCACAATGTGCATGCGCTACTTGATCTAATTGCACCACAATGTACATGCACTACCTTTTCTAATGCACCGCCACAATTTGCATGCACTACTTTTTCTAATCGCCCAACAATGTACATGCGCTACTTTTTCTAATGCACCACCACAATGTGCATGCACTACTTTGTCTAATCGCACCACAATGTGCATGCACTACTTTTTCTAATCGCACCACAATGTGCATGCACTACTTTCTCTAATGCACCACCACAATTTGCATGCACTACTTTTTCTAATCACACCACAATGTGCATGCATTACTTTCTCTAATCACACCACAATGTGCATGCGCTACTTCGTCTAATCGCACCACAATGTGCATGCACGACTTTTTCTAATCACACCACAATGTGCATGCGCTACTTCGTCTAATCGCACCACAATGTGCATGCACTACTTTTTCTAATGCACCACCACAATTTGCATGCACTACTTTGTCTAATCGCCCAACAATGTACATGCACTACTTTTTCTAATCGCACCACAATGTGCATGCGCTACTTTTTCCTAATCACACCACAATGTGCATGCACTACTTTTTCTAATCGCCCCACAATGTGCATGCACTACTTTGTATAATCGCACCACAATGTGCATGCTCTACTTTTCCCAATCCCACCACAATGTGCATGTTCTACTTTTTAAAATTGCACCACAATGTGCATGCTCTACTTTTCCTAATCACACCACAATGTGCATGCTCTACGTTTTAAAATTGCACCACAATGTGCATGCTCTACTTTTTCTAATCGCACCACAATGTGCATGCAAATTGTGGTGGTGCATTAGAACAAGTAGTGCATGCACATTGTGGTGCGATTAGAAAAGGTAGTGCATGCACATTGTGGTGCGATTAGAAAAGGTAGTGCATGCACATTGTGGTGCAACTTTAAGAAGTAGTTCATGCACATTGTGGTGCGATTTTGAAAAGTAACGCATGCACATTGTGGTGTGATTAGAAAAAGTAGTGCATGCAAACGGGGTGGGGGGTAGCACATTGTGGTGTGATTGGACAAAGAAGCGCATGCATTGTGGGGCGATTAGAAAAAGTAGTGCATGCACATTGTGGTGCGATTAGACAAAGTAGCACATGCACATTGTGGGGTCATTAGAAAAAGTAGCGCATGCCATTCTTTTTCTAATCGCAACGCACGGTATTGCGGTGCCACACATTGATCATGTTGTGGGCGGGAGCTGTGTTAGGTAAGGGGGGTAAAGGGGAATTTATCAAAACGGGAGCGGAGAAAATCTGGAGCAGTTGACAACCAATCAGATTCTAGTTTTCATTTTCAACGGTTAACTCAACAACCTGAAGATAGAAGCTGATTGGTTGCTATAGACAACTGGTCCAGATTCTGTCTGCTCCAGTTTTCATAAATTCCCCCCATTTATTTACTAAGACCGGGGCAGACAAAATCTAGAGCAGCTGTGCGTGGCAACCAACCAGCTTCTAGCTTTCAAGTGGTCAAGGTAAAGAGAGATGCTGATTGGTTGCTACAGGCAACTGCTCCAGATTCTGTCTGCTCCAATGTTGATAAATCCCCCCATTATTCTTAATGGTGCCAGTTCACATGAGTGCAGCATGGTGCAGTGGGATCTTTGGAAAAATGCTGCTGCTTCTTTTGGTGCTACAGCATACATTTTGAGCCTCATAGACGTCAATGGAAGTGCAAGAATAATGCACATACATGCATTTTTGGTACGTTTTCCCTAAAAGTTTCCTCAAAGGAAGACTATGCCTAATGATGTCACAGCGGATATTGCTTGTCATTGGCCAGAAGAAAAACACATGAAAAATATTGCAGCAGCACTAGTGTGAAACAGGGCTAGACACCATGAATGGAGTAATTACAAAATCAGTAATTACAAAATGATCTGTAATCCAGTGTGAAACCTGGAGCTTCCTGTAATCAAGACCAGTCACTGCTGATCTTTCCTTGTGCAGGCTGACTGGTCTTGTATCCGCCCCCTCCTGTAGATTTCTTCAGGCAGTATGTGGTGGGTGGAGCCTGTCTGCTGGGCTCCTCACACATCTCTGCTCTCTGCACAGGCACAATTTACAAGTTAATATCTGGGTTTCCAAAGGCATTTGGTGCCCGCAAAGTAGCCTTTGTGGCTATTGAGGAATATATTTAAATTAATAAATACATTTAAATGAAGTTGTTGTGCTTAGAGTTCAGTTTTCAGTAAAACAAATTATAATTTGTGCTGAGTTTCAGGACAAACAGATGATGATGTCATCAGCCATGCACACACAACATTCAAATTCATAACCGTGATGATAGAACAAGGGTGGGCAACTCCGGCCCTCCAGCTGTTGTGGAACTACAAGTCCCATGATGCCTTGCAAGGCTGACAGTTACAGACATGACTCCTAGAGGCAGAGGAATGTTGGGATTTGTAGTTAAAGCTCACCTGGAGGGCCTGAGTTGGCCAGCCCTGTGATAGAAAGGCTGCAATGTTATCAAAGTGACCCGCATGTTATTACATACACCACGCTGTCACAGGGACAGTCGCTTCTCGTTTACCGGCCCCTAGTGTGCCAGTCCCATGCTGCCAGTACATGCATGTAGCGCACTATTGTACAGTACACTGCACCACGGACTAGATGTGCTGCATTGCCATTCCTTTGATTGGCACCTAAACGCCACTCCTGGCAAGGGTGGGCTGCCCTGCCTTGTGGTGACAATAAGTAGTGCCAGGTGTGTTGGGCCGCTATTCAAATGAATGGCAATGCAACGCACCAATGCACGTAGTGTGCAGTGCAATCAGCTGTGCAATGGTGTGCATTATTATCTGACCTTTTTCCTTGTTCAGATGGGTTCGGGCTCATCCACACCACAGTATTGTGCTAATTGCATGAGATCCATGCACTTAACACCCACTATTACACAGCACACTGCGGCGCAAGCTAGGCGTGCTGGTGAGTTGCAATTCCATTCATTTAAATGGCACCCCAACACACCATCATGCAGGCACGTTGTCATGTGTTGTGGTGAAAGAAAGTAGCGCTGGGAGGTGCATTGGCGTGCACCACGCACCTAGCTTGTGGGGCAGTAAGCTGTGTGATAGTGTACACTACACGCGCAGATTTCATATGTTTATTTCGGGAATGAGCCCTTACGCTACATTCCCATTATCACTATTAGATGTGTGTATATGTGTTTAAAATGGTTCTCTAAATGCATATATATGCATCTAATGACTTCCACTGGATCTATTCACACCTTGCGTTTTAAATACACTTATCTACAGTCAGTTTAGCTCTGTTTCGGAAAAATAGA